CAGGTGCAACCTGTCCAGCTTGTGAGGTGTCATCTTCTCCAGAACCAATCTCCATGTCCCAGGAGTCTAAAGCACATCTTTCCAGCCATGCATTCATCTGCTTTATCCTCCTAGTTCTGTACTCACTTGCTTGTGGCATTGGGAGTAATCAGAGATTATGACTTGCGAGGTCCTGCTCACCAATTGTCTACATAGCTTTGTAAAATTCTCATTTAGAACCACATCTCCCTTCCTAACAAATTCATTGGGACAAGCATTTGACTGTTTATCCTCCACCAAAAGAATTCCTACAACTTCTCTGTGGCATTCTTTATCCTGGCACCAGGGAAGCAACATATCATCCTGGGATCACTTCTATGGCCAAAGAAATACCTGTCTGCTCCCCTAAATAATGAATTCTTTATCACTATTACATTTGTTTTCTTCTTAGTCCCCTCCTGTACAGCTGAGCCACTCATGCTGCCATAAACATCTAATTGCATTAACTGCACCGCCTTAAGGAACCAATGCTCTTATCAGCTTCTAAAAACAGATAACTCATTTGTGACTGGGACCCCAGGGAGGTCCTGCACTGCCTGCTTGTTTTTCTTGGACGGACTGGTGGTCACTCAATCCCTTTCTGTCTCCTGGCCCTTAAGCTATAGTGTGACCACCACTCTGAATGTGCTACCCAATTAACTCTTAGTTCAAGTTTCTGCAGCTGGCAGAACATCCCACACGTGGTCATTAGGACACCTGTAGAATCCCATGTCTTCCCATAGGGTATGCATTCCAATTTACCAAACTGTGGTGCCTGCTCTTAACTATATTCTACTTTGGATTTACTCATTTCACTTAGAGTGCCAGGGTCAGACAACATGGAAACGGACACTTTAGCCCAACTTGCCCATACCGACTCAGGTTTCCTAAACTGAACTATTCCCATTGGCCTGTGTTTGGCCCATATTTCTCTAAACCTTTCCTATCCACATACCTGTCCAAATGTCTTTTAATTCTTGTAAATGTACTTGCATCTACTACTTCTTCTGGCAACTCATTCCATTTATACACAATTCCAAATACTATCCACTATATACCATACATTCATATGCTATCATTCCAAAATACTTACCACTCAGGACCCTTTCAAATCTTTCCCCTTGCAATTTAAACCTATGTCCTCTAGCTTTGGACTCTAATACCCTGGGGAAAAGACCATGGCTGCTCACCTTATCTATACACCTCATGATTTTATAAACTTCTGTAAGATCATCCCACAGCCTCCCACACGCTGGGGAAATAGTTTTAGCCTATCCAGCCTTTCCTTATAACCTAAACCTTCCAATCTCGGTAACATCCTTAATTACATTGGCCCTGACTGTCCCTTGTTCCTGGGTGTCTGTGCGTTATTGGACCCAAGATATAAAGAGGTCAGGAACTGAGTAGTCCTAGCAGAAATCAAACTGAGTACCAGTGAGTAGGTTCCTCTTGTGTACTAGTCCCTTGATACCACTGTCAACAACAACTTCCACCACATTCTTTTATTTGTTCAAGGGAAAGTGGGCATTGCTGCTGAGGCCAGCAATTATTATCATCCCTCATTTCCCTGGAAAAGATAATGATGAAGTGCCTTCTTTAACCATTGCAGTTGGTGTGAAGGAACACCCACAGTGCTGTTAGCAGTTCCAGGGTCCTGACCCAGCGACACTGAAGGAACAGTTCTAAGTCAGGATGGCATGTGACTTGGAGTTCCTATGTATTTGCTGCCACTGTACCTCTAAGTGGTAGAGGTCATGGGCTTGGAAGGTGCTGATATAGAAGAATTGGTGAGTTGTTACAGCACATGTTGTAGATAGTATATGCTGCTGCCATTGAGAGTTGGTGGAGAAGGGAGTGAAGGTTAAGTTGTTGGATGGTGTATCAATTAAACAGGGTATTTTTTTCATGAATGGCTTCAAAGCCAGAGTGTCGCTGGAGCTGCAACCATCCAGGCTAGTGGAAAGTATTCCATTACGCTCCTGAACTGAGCCATGTAGCTGGTGGACAGGTATTGAGGAGATAGGAGGGGAGTTCATCGGCACAGAATTCATAGTTTCTGACCCACTTACATGGCTACAGTATTTACATAGAGATAACAAGGTGTAGAGCTGGATGAACACAGCAGGCCAAGCAGCATCAGAGGAGCAGGACTGACCTATCTCCTCCCCACCTACACTCGACTTCACTGGCTTCATCCCCACCTCTTTGACCGGTCTGTCTCCTCTCCACCTATCTTCTCCTCTATCCATCTTCTATCCGCCTCCCCCTCTCTCCCTATTTATTTCAGAACCCCCTTCCCCTCCCCCATTTCTGAAGAAGGGTCTAGGCCCGAAACGTTAACCCCTCTACAGTATTTACATGGCTGGTCCAGTTCAGTTTCTGGTACTTTCGGAATGTTTTGCTGATGATTAGATGAAAGCTGGTGAGGCAATGATTAGCAGGATTAAATTTATGTTGCTTTTTGTAAACAAAATATTTGGATGGTATTTTTCAGTACTTTTGAGTGGATCCCAGTTTTGTGACAGTACTGGAACAGCTTGGCTAAGGGAACAGTTAAGCCTAAAACACAAGTCTTCAGTTCTAATTCCAGAATATTGTCAAGGTCCATAGCCTTTGCTGCACGCGGTGCCTTCAGTTGTTTTTTGATATCAAATGAAGTGAATTAAATCGGCTGAAGACTGGCAATGGTGATGCTGGGGTCTCAGGAGGAGACTGAGATGGACCATCCATTTGGCACTTCTGGCTGAAAATGCTTGCAAATGCTTCAGCCCTGTCGTTTGCACTGATGTGCTGGATTCCCAGCTCATTGAGGATGGGGATATTTTTGAAGCTACCGCCTCCTCATTTTACTTTCTACTGCCACTCACAACTGGACGTGAAAGGACTGCAGTGCTTTGATCTGATCCATTGGATGCAAGATCACTTCACTATTGCATGCTGCCTCCACTGTTTTGTATTCAAGTTTAGCTTCAGCAGCTTAACACCATCTGTTTTTTTGTGTATGCCTGATGCTGATCCTGGCATGCTCTTATGCACCCTTTCTGGGAAAGGAAAGTGTTTGAAGATTTGTTGAAACAATAGAACTACATTGCATTTGAGAGGCAGGAATGTTGTGCGCATCAGTGTAACCTGATGAAAAAAAAGGTGGAGAAATGAAACAGAGCCAGGAGAATATCCAAGCTGACGTAAAGAGTTATAAACGGACTCACGGCCGACACTGGCATCAAGACAATGCTAAACAAATCATCAAAAAACATAGCTGCCCAGATAAGTACAGTATATATATCGTCACACTTCAATGCTGAAACCCATTCTGGCACACAGATTAGACCTAAACACTATTAGTGGCCAACTAAGAGTTAACATCAACTTTCATAACTTTACAAAATTCAGAAGGACAATGAGGCAACCATTGGGAGAGGATTAACTATTCTTTTTCAAATATTGATCCAACATTTCCTTAAATGTGAGCTTTGTCACAATACTTCCATGCTTCAATGACTGAGTGTTTTTTAATCCTTTAAATTTTCCCCTCAACCTCCTAGGGCTAGTTTCCTTATCATTGTCCAAGGGAAATAGTTTTTTTTTTATTGAAAATCTTCATAATTTTAAAATCCTCCTTTAAATTCCCTTATAGGTCCCTCTGCTCCAGTTGGAATAACTTAGAACCTTAGGTGTAACTTCATAATATAGTTTCTTATCTCTGACATCATCTTGGTGAGGTATGGCATGCTCTCTGAAGCTTCAGTGTCCTTTCTAATACGAGGTACTCAAGCCACACATATTATTACAAATGTAGCTTAAATAAAGTTCTGAACAAACGTATGGAAAATGCAAACATACTCCTTATCTCCAGCTCATCTGCAAACTAGGCTTCCACTATCAAAAGACCATAAGACACGAGGCAGAAGTAGGCCATTTAGCACATTAAGTCTGCTCTGCCATTCAATGAATTTGATAATTCTCAACTCCACTTTTCTGCTTTGTTTCCCCACACCCTTTACTTATTAAAAGTCTGCCTATCTTGGCCTTGAATGTACGTAACAATTCAGGCTCAAAATCCCTCTATAATAAAGAATTCTATAGATTCATTACCCTCACAGAAGAACTTCTTTCACATATGATTAAATGCACAACCCCTTATTCTGAGATTATGCCCTCTGGTCCTAGATTCTCCTGCAAGAGGAAACAATCTCTCCGCATCTACCCTGTCAAGTACCCGAAAAATCTTGTATGTTTCAATGAAGTTCATCTAAATTCCAAAGAGTACAGAACCAAACTACTCAAGTTCTCCTCATAAGATGTCTCCCCCACCCCTGAAGATGACCCCCACCCCCGTATTGGTATCAGCCTAGTCAATCTCTCTGGACTGCGCCCAATGCCACTGTAACTTTCTTTAGACAGGGGAATCAAAACTGTTCATCGTATTCCATCTGTGGTCTGACTAGTGTCTTATATAGTTTTAGTTAAATGTCCCTACTTTTATTTTCCATTCCCTTTGATGTAAAGACCAACGTTCCATTTGCTTTCCCTATTACCCGCTGAACTTGTATGTTAGCTTTTTGTGATTCATCCCAATTTGCTCTGTTCTGTAGCTTTCTAGTCTTTCACAATTTAAATAATATTCAGTTCTTCTATTCTTTCTGCCAAATTACACAACTTCACATTTTCCCACATGATATTCCATCTGCCAAGCTTCTGTCCGTTCACTTGATCTAACTATATTATTCAGTGCACTCTTTGTGCCATCCTCACCACTTGCTTTCCCACTTATTTTTGTGTCATCCGCAAACTTGGCTATAGTACATTTACTTTCCTTATCCAAGCCAATAAGCTGCTGAGTTCACTAACTCAAAAGGGTAAGGAGAACCAAAGCTGCGTGTTCCTCTTCATAGATCTGCCTACTATTGCATCATTCTACAACACTGAAAGCAATCTGAATTAAACAACAGATTGGATACTGAATTTAACTTGAACCTTACCTGTGATGTTGTGTAGCCCGAGAAGCAAGAATGAAAAATCCAAATATAGCAAATGCTGCACTAGGTAGTGACCAACAAGCTATGGCAAACCCAGTCCATTCTACTATTTCTCCAAGGAAGTTAGCACCAGACACATACTCAAACATTCCTCCTTTAAAACACAAGAGAATTTTTTGTTCAAAAAAATTAATTCTAACTTTCTTAATTAAAGGCTGACCAGAATCTTGTTCTATAAATCACTCACCGTGTGGGATCTTATATACTGTTTCACCAGGTTTTCGTAGTTTTCTGAGGATATGGTCAGAATGTAGGTTTACTGATAGACCAAAAACCCAGAGTGCAAAACCTTAAAACAAGAGGTTGCAGTTAATAAGTGCTTCCTCATTTTTTTGTCAACTGTTTAAAGTTTCATTTCGTTTTACAAAGAAATACTGAAAAGTCACAAGACATCAGAATGGTGTGTTGCCACCCTGGTGCCAGGATCAAGTACATCTCAGAGAGGGTGCAGAATATTCTCAGAGGGGACAGGGACCAGCAGGAGGTCATTGTACATATTGGAACTAATGACACAGGAAGAGAAAACGATGAGATTCTGAGGAGAGAATATAGAAAGTTACGTAGGAATTTAAAAAGAATGTCCTCAAGGGTAGTAATATCCTGGTTACTCCCAGTGGCATGAGCTAGGGAGGGTAGGAACTGAAGGATAGAGCAGATGAATACGTGGCTGAGGAGCTGGTGCAGGGGAGAAGGATTCACATTTTTGGATCATTGGAATCTCTTCTGGGGAGGAGTGACCTGTTTAAGGAAGATGGATTGCACCTGAATTGGCAGAGGACCAATATACTGGCAGGGAGATTTCCTACAGCTGTTTGGGAGGATTTAAAGTAGTAAGGGGAGGAAGTGGGTGCCGGTACATAGTGTGGAAAGAGATCAGTCCGAGATTGGTACAGTGGGAAAAGGAGCAGGTCAAACAGGCATGGCAGGCAGGAACAAAGCAGAGAACAAAGGTAGGACTGTTAAATTAAACTGCATTTATTTCAATGCAAGAGGCCCAACAGGTAAGGCAGATGAACTCAGGGCATGGTTGGAAACATAGGACTGGTATATAACATCAATCAGAGATGCGGCTGAGGGATGGACAAGATTGGCAGCTTAATGTTCTAGGGTATAGATGCTATAGGAAGGACAGAAAAGGGAGCAAGAGAGGAGGGGGAGTGGCATTTTTGATTAGGGATAACATTACAGCAGTACTTAGGAAGGATATTCCTGGGAATACGTCCAGGGAAGTTATTTTGGTGGAACTGAGAAATGAGAAACGGATGATCACCTTATTGGGATTGTACTACAGACCACCCCCAATAGTCAGCAGGAAATTGAGAAACAAATTTGTGAGGAAATTTTAGTTATCCAAGAATAATAGGGTGGTTATGGTAGGGGATTTTAACTTGCCAAACATAGACTGGGACTGGCACAATATTAAGGGCTTGGATGGACAGAAATTTGTTAAGTGTGTACAAGAAAATTTCCTGATTCAGTATGTGGATGTACCTACTAGAGAAGGTGCAAAACTTGACCAATTCTTGGGAAATAAGGTTGGGCAGGTAACTGAGGTGTCGGTGGGGGCACACTTTGGGGCCAGTGACCATAATTCTGTTAACTTTAAAATAGTGATGGAAAAGGATAGACCGGATGTAAAAGAAAGTTCTAAATTGGAGGAAGGCCAATTTTAATGGTATTAGGGAAGAACTTTCAAAAGTTGATGGCGGGGATGGCGGGGGTGGCGGGGTTGGGGGGAGGTGGGGAGGTGGTGCTCAAACGTGGTGGTGGTGGTGCTGGTGTTGGGACCGGATATTTTTAGGTAAAAGATCCTGCAGGTAAAAGAGCCATCAAAAATGAGATAATGAGAGTCCGGAGATAGTATATTCCTGTTAGGGTGAAGGCAAAGGCTGCTGGGTGTAGGGAATGCTAGGTGACTCGAGAAATTGAAGTTTTCATCAAGAAAAAAGGAGGAAGCATACAACAGGTATAGACAGCAGGGATTGAGTGAATCCCAAGAAGAGTATAAAGGCAGTAGGAGGACACTCAAGAGGGAAAATCAGGAGGGTAAAAAGGGGACATGAGATAGTTTTGGCAAATAGGGTTAAGGAGAATCCAAAGGGATTCCACAAAAACATTAAGGACAAAAGGGTAACTAGGGACAGAATAGCGCCCCTTAAAAATCCAGCAAGGCTGCCTATATGTGGAACCGCAGGAGATGGGGGAATATTCTAAAAGAGTATTTTGCATCAGTGTTTACTGTGGAGGAGGATATGGAAGATATAAAACGTGGGGAAATAAATAGTGATATTTTGTAAAATGTCCATATTGAAGAGGAGATGCTGCTGGATGGTTGAAAACACAAACATTGATAAACCTCCACCACCTGATCAGGTGTACCCTACAACTCTATGGGGAGCTAGGGAAGTGATTGCTGGGCCCCTTGCTGAGATTTTCTATCATTGGAGGTTGGCTAACATGGTGCCACTATTTAAGAAAGGTGATAAGGAAAAGCCAGGGAACTATAGACTGGTGAGCCTGACGTCGGCAGTGGGTAAGTTGTTGAAGGGAATCCTGAGAGACAGGATTTACATGTATTTGGAAAGGCAATGACTGATTAGGCATGGTCAACATGGCTTTATGCGTGGGAAATCGTGTCTCACTAACTTGATTGAGTTTTTTGAAGAAGTAACACAGAGGATTGATGAGGGCAGACCAGTCGACATATCTATATGGACTTCAGTAAGGTGCTTGACAAGGTTGCTCATGGTAGACTGGTTAGCAAGGTTAGATCACATGGAATACAGGGAGAACTAACCATTTGGACAACAAACTGGCTCAAAGGTAGAAGCCAGAGGGTGGTGGTGGTGGAGGGCAGCTTTTCAGACTAGAAACCTCTGATCAGCACTGTGCCACAAAGATCGGTGCTGGGTCCACTGTTTTTCGTCATTTATATAAATTATTTGGATGTGAACTTACGAGGTATGGTTAGTAAGTTTGCATATGACACCAAAATTGGAGGTGCAGCAGACAGAGAAGAAGGTTACCTCTGAGTACAACAGGATCTTGATCAGATGGTCCAATGGGCTGAGGAGTGGCAGATGGAGTTTAATTTAGATAAATGTGAGGTGCTGCATTTTATGATGTGGGTAACTAATATTTTATTGTGGAGCACATCGTTTGGTATGCTTGCCTTTATTGGTCAGTGCATTGAGTATAGGAGTTGTGAGGTCATGTTACGGCTGTACAGGACATTGGTTGGGCCACTTTTGGAACACTATGTGCAATTCTGGTCTCCCTGCTATAGGAAGGATGTTGTGAAACTTGAGTGGGTTGAGAAAAGATTTACAAGGATGTTGCCAGGGTTGAAGAGTTTGAGCTATAGGGAGAAGCTGAATAGGCTGGGGCTGTTTTCCCTGGAGTGTTGGAGTCTGAGGGGTTACGGAGATTTATAAAATCATGAGGGGCATGGATAGGGTAAAAGGCGTGGGGGAGTCCAAATCTAAAGGGCATAGGCTTAAGGCGAGAGTGGAAAGATTCAAAAGTGACCCACAGGGCAACATTTTCACAGAGGGTGGTGCATGTATGGAATGAGCTGCCAGGTGGAGGCTGGTACAATTACAACATTTAAAAGGCATCTGGATTGGTATGTGAATTGCAAGTTGTTTAGAGGGATATGGGTCAAATGCTGGGAAATGGGACTAGATTTATTTAGGATATCTGGACAGCATGGACAAGTTGTACTGAAAGGTCTGTTTCCATGCTGTACAGCTCTGTACTCTAAGAAAATTTAGGATTGTAGCAGGTATGAAGGAAAGTAAACTAGAAGGCACAGTGGTTAGCACTGCTGCCTCACAGCGCCAGGGATCTGGGTTCAATTCCACCCTCGGGCAACTGTGTGTGGAGTTTTCACATTCTCCCCATGTCTGCGTGGGTTTCCTCCAAGTGCTCTGGTTTCCTGCCACAGTCCAAAGATATGCAGGCTAGGTGGATTGGCCATGCTAAATTGCCTGTTGTGTTCAGGGATGTGTAGATTAGGTGGGTTATAGGGGGATGGGTCTGGGTGGGATGCTTGGAGGGTCTATGTGGACTTTTGGGCCGAAGGGCCTGTTTCGACATTGTAGAAGTTCTATGATTCTATTTATGAAATTGAATAAAGTTCTGTTGGTAATGTCGCTGGAGTGAATGTAGGAAAGGCACAGACAGAAATTTAAAATTGTGTTGGAGGTGGACTGGAGGTTCTTAGAAGAACAGAGGCAGCTGATGCATGGAAACAGCTCCACCTGCCAGTTCCTCTCCAAGTCACATATCATCCCAAGTTTGAACAATATCACATTCCTTCACTGTCGCTGGATTAAACTGCAGAAAATCCCTTCCTAACGGCACTGTGGGGGCACCTGAATCCATTTACTACAGTGGTTTGAGAAGGCAGCTCACTATGACCTTCTCTCGGCAATTAGAAATGAGAAATGCTTCCCCAGCCAATGACACCCACATCCCATGAAATCATAGAAAATTACACATAGTCTCTCAAACCTGTACTGCCAGAGTAATTGTAGTTAATCTTCTACCTCAACTCCACTTTCCCTCTTGTCTCCATATTCCCTCATTTCCTGAGAGACTATGTATGTTCAATGATGGAACAATATTCTGGAATGAGGAAGGATTCACACAAGATTCACAAACATTTGAGTGAGTGAAAGAAATTCTCATCGTCCGAGTCCTAAATGATTGTCCTTTTTCTTGAGGCTGAACCCCATTTTGCCCAGGAAGGGTAAACAACCTCTGTGTCTATCATCTCAGTCTCCCTCAGAATGTCTTATGCTTCCGTAAAATCTCCTCTCATTTTTCTAAACTCTGCAGAATATATTCAAATCATAGGATAATCCATACATTCCAAATAACAATTTTGTAAGCCTCACCCTACTGCCTCTAATATATATCCTTCTTAAAATACAGAGGGCAAATCTGCATATAGTATTCCAGGCGCAGTCTCAGCAAAGCTGGATCAAAATGCTCTTATTCTTTTACTCCAATCCCTTTCCAACGAAGGTCAATATGCTCTTGGCCTTTCTGCTGGTTTGATGTACCTGAACGCAAATCTCCTGTGCTCCAAGCACAAGTACATTCCAGTTCCACTGAACATCAACATTTAAATGTCTCATGCCTCTTTAAAAAAAATTATGTTCCTTTAAAGTGACTAACCTTACACTTTGTAACCTTACTAGAATTGAGGCTAACCTCAGAATCAATAGAAGTGAAGTTAAAGTAATTAATATTAGCAGAGAAAATGCACTGGGCCAAAATCCAACAAATCTCCAGGAACTGATAGCCTACATCCTAGCATTTAAAAGAGATGACTGCACAGATACTGGGTGCACTGGTTATGATTTTCCAAAATTGCATATCTGGAATGGTCCCAACAGATTAGAAATATGCAAATGTTACGTTAATAGTTAAGGCTGTAGGGGGTGAGGTGGGCAAGCGATCAAGAGAATGAGAAGAGAATGACAGGACTGCATCTGACTTCAGTCACTTGGAACATGCTGGAACCAAATATTAAATAAATCTTAGAAAGTTGCGATTAAAACAATTCAGCATGATTTTATAAAAGAGAAATCCTGTTTGATAAATTTATTCATTTTTGAGGATCTAACTAGTTTGGCAAAAGAGAATTAACACATGTTGCATACTTGGAATTCCAAAAGGCATTTGTCACGACACCACGCAAAAGGTTAATGCACAGGATAATGCTTATGACTTTCTTTGGTGGTGATAGATTTGCATGGATAGGGGATTGCTTAATGGATAGGAAACAAGAGACTCAATATAAATGATATATAGGCAGATCAATGGAGTGGAAAATAAGCTGCCAGGTGAAGTATCATGTGACAAAGTGCAAGTTTATTTACTTTAGTAGTAATTTTTTTTATATAAAGCTGTGGAACTTGCCAACGTTTATATTGAAATCAATTGGCTGCATTTGTTCAAGGATCACAAAATGTTAGCATGCAAATACAGCAAGCAATAAGGAATGCAAATGGAAAGTTGGCCTTTACCATAAGTGGATCAAAGAGTTACAGAGATGTATAGCAGAAGACAAAAATAAGTCAGTCTTGCTATATTTGTTCAGGCTTTAGGGAGATCGCATTTGAATATTATGCGTGGATTTGGTCTCCATATTTAAGGAAGGACATACTTCCATTGGAGGCAATAGAGTTGATGTTCACAAGATTGGAGTCTGGGGTGACAGAATTGATCGATGATGAGTGACACAGCAAATTAGGTCTATAATCTTTGCAGTTTAGAAGAATGGGAAAAATGCACAGGAAAGTGGACTTGAAGTACAAGATTACACATGATCATATTGAATGGTGCAGCAGATCCGATAGGATGTTTAATCTCCTCCTGCTCCTGTTTTTATATTCTTACATTCCATCCGCCATGTTGCTCACTGTTTACTTAGCCTGTCTATTTCTCTTTGCAGACTCTGAGGTCATGACACCTTACAAGCCCACCCACTTTATATCTTCAGTAAACATTGTTCCTTTCACAAAGTCAATTCTACAGATTGTACATAACTGAGGCTCCAGAACTGTCAACTTGAAAGTGCTCTGTTTATTCACTCTTTGCGTTTTAGAGTCATAGAAATATACAGCATGGAAACAGGCCCTTCAGTCCAACTCATCCATGCTGAACCAGATATCCAAAATTAATTTTAGTACATTTGCCAGGATTTGGCCCATATCCCTCTAAACCCTTCCTATTCATATATCCATCCAGATATTTTTTAAATGTTGTAATTGTACTAGCCTCCACCACTTCTTCTGGCAGCTCATTCCATGCACGCACCACCCTCTGCGTGAAAATGTTGCCCCTTAGGTCCCTTTTAAATCTTTCCTCTCTCACCTTAAACCTATGCCCACTAGTTTTGGACTCCCCCAACTCTGGGGAAAAGACCTTGGCTACTCACCCTCATGATTTTATAAACTTTTATTGGGTCACCCCTCAGCCTCAGACTCTCCAGGGAAAATAGCTCCAGTCTATTCAGCCTCTCCCTATAGCTCAAACCCTCTAACCCTGGCAAAATCATTGTAAATGTTTTCTGAACCCTTTCAAGTTTCACAACACCCTTCCTATAGCAGGGAGACCAGAACTGAACGCAGTATTCCAAAAGTGGCTAAACTAATGTCCTGTACAGCCACAACATGACCTTCCAACTCCTATATTCAATGCACTGACCAATAAAGGCAAGCATACCAAACGATGTGCTCCACAATAAAATATTAGTTACCCACATCATAAACTCAGTCAGGCTACACCTTCCAGTGACTGGTTTTTCGAATCAAAGAGTAGGACTCAGACCTTCCGATTGACATTACTGAAGCAGACTGGAGCTGCACTTCGGAAACTACACAAGAGAACTGATTTGATGAGAATTGCCCCGGAAACAGACTTCCAATAAGCTGCACGGTGGCTCAGTGATTAGCTCTGCTACCTCACAATGCCAGGGACCCAGGTTTGATTCTGACCTCAGGCGACTGTGTGGAGTTTGCATGTTCTCCCTGGTGCTCCAGTTTCCTCCCACAGTCCAAAGATTGGCGGGTTAGGTGGGCAGGTTGTGCTAAATTGCCCCGTAATGTCCAGGGATGTACAGACTAAGTGGATCAGTCATGGTAATGGTGGTGTTATGGGGATGGGGAGGGAGGATGGATATGGGTGGAATGGTCTTTGGAGAGCCAGTGCAGACTCAGTGGGCTGAATAGCCTCTAGCTGCAACGTAGGCATTCTATGATTCAATTGCAATGTACCAGGAATCCTCCAAAAACAGTCTGACTCTCAGCTGGAGATCGGGACACTTCAGATATTTCTGACTTACTTACCTTAATTGTTACCCAGGAAAGGTTGGAAGTTTAGAAGCCTAATCTAAATCCTGGTTAATGGTAAAAGTCATCCCCCAACGCTTCACTGATCACTCTTTGACTACTCACAGAAACTCCAATGATCACACAGTTGGATAGAACATGCTGAAGAATCCTGAGTATGCTAATGTCTTTCCTAGCAACCAATTTAAGATAACTAGTGGAGCTTATAACATGGATCATCTATGCTTGCCAGAAGTAACGGATCATCATAAGCAGGGACCTAAACTCTGTATACAAAAAGAATATGCTAACCTTTTGCACCTTTCCGAATTACAAGGGAGCCTGGGGAATCTATAGTTTATTATTGCTTTTACCGTGACAATGCCTTGGCCAATCACAGTGAAGTTGCATAACAATCAGCACCCTTTCTCCTGCAGTATATATTGTTGTGATCACTAAAAATTTGGGATTCTTGCGTACGTTTGGAGGGACAGATGACAAAAGGCTTCGCCAACATCTCTTTTTTTCAGCAACACTCAGGTTTTGGATGGTTTACAAACTTTCATGTCAAATTAACATTACCTGCGAGAAAGCGTGGACCAGTTATCCAGTTTGAGGGGTAGACAGCATACTTGCTTAGGAATCTAGCCTGCAGATATCCATTAAATGCACAATATATGAAAGCTAATGCAAAAGGAATGAAGGGTGTCGCTTTTCCTCCTCTAATTAAAAAAGGGAATATCAGTGACCTGTAACGAACAGAGAATTATTTACAACTATGTTCTTCAAAGAAAATTATCCAAACTTAAAAGTAACAATAAATCTGCACAAGCAGTCTACCACAAACATTTTCAAGCTTTCATTATGTACTGCTGCATATTTATTACTTTTCATTTTGGTTGTCAATATTTCACTGTTTCCTTCAGTTAGGTTCTTTTTTTAAAAATCAAACGCCTTCCTAATTTGTTCAGTTTCTTATGCAGCAGTAGGCTACTCATTTTTGGAAAATGTAAAAATAAATTTTGGAACTAAGTTTTAAAAATAATTTGACTGAATAAAGTCATTTGTAGTTGTTCAGAAGCACACTTTCCTGACTCACTGGTCAAACACTTTCACCAAATCAGTTAAAAAGTACTCTCAAGCAATTTGATTTACAAATTGAATGGGCTAATTGGTTCCTCCTTGAACAATGGACTTATTGGGCCAAATGGCCTGTTTCCACATTGTAGGGGTTCTATGGTTCTATGGTATGGTTCTTAAGACACAGAGGACTGTTTTTATTGTGCTTAATGCTAGTAGTACAATTTCTGATAAGGGTATATTTTTAGGCATGCACTGTCTCCCACTAAGGAGCTACAAGTGCGCTGCACCTGGTAAAAACATTCACAAGAATCTGGGAATATATAGAGTGAACTGAACAAACCTTCATCCAGTTACCTTTAACAGGAGCTGTATCACTACAGAATCTGAGGGGTTCTTCCAGTGTGCTCTGCACCGATCACTGTGCTTGGAAGGTGCGTCCATTCAAGTATGGCTGCACGTGTCAGAAGTAAGTAGAGTATGCAGGTCGTGATGCCACTTAGTAACATTGAGTTGGTTATTGACCAGTCATTTTGAATTTCTCAAATTCAGTTAATACTTTATCTTCAACACTTCCAGTTGAATTTGTGTTCAGTTGCAGGAGGGATACTACCTCCACCACCACCCTCTCATTCCTACTCCCACCCCCACCCATGTCCTCAGAACATTTAGTGCTTGTCTGCATGCTGCAATCATGGCAACTTCACCCATATTTTTTCTAATTTGAAAAAGCCACAACCATTTTTTTTGCTGTGTAGCCAATGTCCACTGACCTATAATCGTCATAATACACTTCTGCAACAATTCTTAAAATTACAAAACAACGTTAAGTAATCAAAAACAATCCTTCTGTGCAGCAGCTTAACCTTTAATATCTACCAACAGTTTAGTGAATTGTATAATCCTACAACAGTCTCACTGAAATTTGCTTTCGTATCTTAGATACCATCTAATCATTTTATTTTGCAACACTGTAGCTGTTGCTACTTACAAGAAAGGCATCAGGAATGGTGGTGCATTTACAGCTGGCCAAAAATATAACCGTGAGCATGTGTGCACTTGTTACTTACGTCTTTCTCGATGGTTATTGAAGATTGAATCTTGTTTGAAATACTCAGAGCAATGCCACAACATACAATCTACATATACATCGCAAGTGTTAAATTTTTGACATTGGTCCTACTTCTTAACCTAAAGGGATGTTGAAATGGAGATTAACCTCAGTGTGTTACGGCTTTGTGCAGGAAGATGCTACGTAACCCATGCAGCTCAATTGGTACATTATGGAACTCTTAATCCTAGGTCCATCATAACGTTTTATAATATTCTTTTTATTGATGTTTTTAAATCAAAAAGGTGCCCTAAAACTAAATATTATGATCAATACTCCACTTTGGAAGTTAAGGCTTCATTTCCTGAAGTTTACTGACTATATATCTTTATCATTTATTGAATGTCAAAGCATGTTTTACAGTTTCTAAACAAAAGCTGGATGAGATATTGATTAATTGCTGCCCTAAAAATTGGGTGATATCCTCAAAGTGTGAAGCCAACTTTATTTTAATGCTGCCAGCTGATGCTCTTCACAACGATGCTGAGATTAAAACAGAGCACATGCAGGAAGAGCTCACCCTAGTTTTGCAGCGGACATATATAAAATAGTTGATTGGTTCATGATTTTGAACAAATTTACATGTTCTTCAATTTTAAAAAAAACTGTACAAGTTGTAAATTCAACATAAAAAATGGAAAATACCGTAAATACTTAGGGGGTCAGGCAACATCTGTGGAGAGAAACGGAGGAACCTTCATTATTTCTCCATTGCATCCTTTTGTCTTCAAAGTTGATCAATGTGAATGGAACAAGTTTAAACCATAATATACAAATTTGATGAAGCAAGAACTTAATTCCATCATTTAAAGCAGTGATAAAAATGACAGAAGATGTTGTCAGTTGCATTATTCTACATGATTGTGCTTCACAAATTTGAAATCTTTCAATCTCATGATGATGGTAGATAGTTCAAAGTCAAAACCTCATGCAATCCAAGAGAGAGTGTGATAAGTTGGATCCAAAACTGATGTTCTATCAAAAAAATGAAAAGTGATGGTTCACAGATGTTCTGATTGAAAGCTGTTTCTGATGGGCCTCCACAGGACTCATTATTGGACCCCTTACTGTTCCTAAGTTTTAATATATCAATAATTTAGACTTAAATCTAGGGGAACTATTGAGAAGTCTGCAGACAATATGAAAATGGCCACGTGGTTGACTGCAGGAACATAAGACTAGTCAGGTGGACAGAAAAGTGACGGAAGGAATGCAATCCACAGGAGTGTTTGGAATATATTTGGAGAGGATAAACAAGCAAAGCAATGACACAATAAGTGTAAAATCTGAAGTGAAGATGAACAGAGGACCTTGGAATGCATGTCCACAGGTTCCTGAAGGTAGCAGGGAAGGCATTTAGTGTTTAAGAAGATTTACAGAATTCTTTTCCATACTGATTGTAGCCCAGAGTATAAAAGCATGGAGATTATACAAAAAATTGTACAGAATACTTGTTAGATCACAGCCAGAGTGTTGTATACAGTTTTGGTGATTGTATTATAGGAAGGAGATGCTCAATTGAGAGAAATACAGAGAACACCCTCAAGGATATTGCTATGAAAGGATAATTCTAAAGAACAAGCAAAGATTGATTAAGTCAGGACTGTTTTCTTTGCAACAAGGGGAGACTTGGGGCTAATTTAATTAAGGTCACAGTCATAGAATCAGAGTCGTACAGCATAGAAACAGACCCTTTGGTCCAACCAGTCTATGCTAAATATAACCCCAAAATAACTTAGTCCCACGTGCCTGCTCCTGACCCATATCCCCCCAAACGTTCTTATTCATGTACTTATCTATATGTCTTAAATGTTCTCGTTGTACCCACATCCACTACTTCCTCAAGAAGCTCATTTCACATGTGAACCATCCTTTTTGTAAAGAATTTTGCCCTCATGTCTTTTTTAAATCTCTGTCCTCTCACCTTAAAAATATACCATCTTGTCTTGAAATCCCCCATCCTACAGAAGAGAAGTACCATTAACCCTGTCTATAACCCCTCATTTTATGAACTTCTATACTCCAGCGAAATAGCTCCCAGCCGATCAAGCCTTTCTTCATAACTCAAACCTTCCATACCCAGCAACATCCTCAAAATCTTTTCTGAGCCTTCTCCATTTTAATAATATCCTTCCTGTAACGGAGCAACCAGAACTGGACACAGTATTCCAGAAGAGGCTCACCAATGTTCTGTATAACCTCAACATGACTTCCCAACTCATATACTCAAAGCATTGAACAATGAAGGCAAGCGTCCTAAAGGCCTTTTTAACCACCCTGTCTACATGTGACCACAAACTTCAAAAGAATTAGGTCCTTGTCTATTCTATAACGCCACCCAAGGCCCTACCATTAATTGTATAAACCCTACCTTTGTTTGTTGTACCAAAACGTAATACCTCACATTTATCCAGACTGAACTCCATCTGCCATTTTTCTGCCATTGACCCATTTGATCAAGATCCCTTTGTAATCTTAGAAAGCCTTCTTCACTGTCTACTATGCCACCAAATTTGATGTTGTCTGCAAACTTACCAATCATGCCTTCTATATTCTCATCCAAATCATTTATATAAATTACAATAAAAAGACTCAGAACCAATCCCCACAGAACACTGCTGGTGACAGGCCTCCAGTCCGAAAAAAAATCCTCCACCACCATTTTCTGCCTCCTGCTGCTAAGCCAATTATGTATCCAATTGGCAAGTTTACCCTGAGTCCCAAGTGGCCCAACATTACTAATTAATCTACCATGTGAAACCTTGTCGAAAGTTTTACTAAAATTCAAGTAAATAACGTCTACTGCTCTGCCCTCAATCTTTTTGGTAACTTCATCAAAAAGCTCAATCAAGTTTGAGAGACATGATTCTCCTCGCACAAAACCATGTTGACTATCCCTAATCAAATTTTGCCTTTCCAAATGTCCATAAATTCTCTCTTAAAATCACCTCCAACAATTTACCCACAACCTAAGTCAGACTCACAGGTCTATAGTTCCCCGGTTTCTCCTTACATCTTTTCTTAAAGAAAAGGTACAGTATTAGCCATCCTCCAGTCATCAGGCACCTCACCTATAGTTACACAAATATTTCTGCAAGGGGTCTCGCAGTGTTAGGGGATATATTAGATCAGGTCCCAGAGATCTATCCATTTTTATGTTCTCTAAGACCTGTTAAACATCTCTGTAATGTGAACTGTTTTTAATACATCAAAATTTATTTCTCTGCATTTTCTAGCCTCAATTTCTTTCTCCACAGTAAAACTGACAAAATATTCATCTAGTATCTCTCCCATCTCCTTGGGTTCAACACAAAGATGACCTCCTTGTAAGGGCCCTACCCGCTCTCTCTTTACCCTCTTGCTCTTAATGTATTTGTAGAATCTCTTTGGATTATTCTTAATCCCATGTGCCAATGCGATTTTATAACCCATCTTTGCCTTCCTGATTTCTTTCCTAAGAGTGCCCCTATTGAGGTTTTGACTTTGAGCTATTTGACAACATCTTCTGTCATTTTTATCACTTATTTAAATGGTGGAATTAAGTTCTTGCTTTGTCGA